GGGTAGCCTTGTTTTCTTTCCCCCCTAAACAAAAAGGACCTTATCGGCTGGCTCCGTATCTGTTTGGGGAGCATCAGTCTGGTTTCTTCTCCACAKAACATTTCCATGTTTCTTTCCTCCAAAGGACTTGTGAACAGCACTGACAGCTCCATGTCCCGGATGATTGACTGTCAGCTAGCCTTTGCTTCTTGGGTCACTCTCAATCTTGCCAGGAATGTCAGATTTGCTTGAAACCAAGATGCTGACGTGACAAAGCTCCTTCTGCTCCTCCTTCCGGTGTTGAGGATGTGTTCCCCTCGTACATTCCACTCTGTCTTGTCTTCATGGACAGCCAGATCTGCATGATAATGCTAGTACTGGTCAGCTAACCACATTTTCTTTTGTTTTTTTTAACACCTGCTGAAACTGTTAGGCGTGGTGATAAGAGTACCCACTCCTAGCAGCTCTGCTGGTGGCTCCCTTCTATTGGTGGGGAGTAGCACCTGCAGCAAAGCCGGTCCAGCGTCCCTGATACAGAACTTTGAACAATGTAATCCTCGAGTTTGTAGATTGTGGGCAACCTCTTCAACCCTTTCAGGATGGCCAGAAATTCTATGCAACCAAGTTGTTCTACACCTTGCTAAAAATAGAATTGGTCTGAGATCTGTTCACCTTAATCCTACCCCCTCACCTTATTCCTTGTAATTAGATTACTATCAAATCAAACAAAAGGCTGGGGCTAGCAAACAAAAGGAATCTCATTCAGCTTGACCAAACCTTGTAATCATACTGCCGTTAAATCAAACCAAGGCATCCAGTAATACATAGAAAGAAATGATCACCTGTTGCCCTCTCCTTCCCTCTCTTATCCAAATCACTGTAATCTCTTCTCCTTATAAAAGCAGCGGGTCGTCTCGCGAGATGGCCCCAAATGAATTGCCAGCCTCCCTAGTCGGGTTCCCATCCTGTGTTCCAGCTGCGCTCTCTTTAGGCCCGCGTGCTATCGATTCCCTGAGTAATCCTGTAGCGGACCCACCAGGTGTGGTGCTCCGCTAGTGACGGAGATGGAGATGGAGGAAGAAGGGGGAGCGAGATGGCACAACGCAGCTCCCCACGCAAGACTCCAACGCACGTACTCCAAATGTGCAAGTGAAGAATGATAGTGAAAACAGACAATGGCTGGGGTATACCCCAGCAGACTGACGGGACTGGACTGGACTGGCTGGTACCGACAGAGGTACCGGCCTGGACTGGCCTACCCCGAATACAACAC